TGAGTCCAGATCTTTACTAAGGTTCTGAGGACTGAGTCTAGATCTTTACTAAGGTTCTGAGGACTCAGTCCAGATCTTTACTAAGGTTCTGAGGAATGAGTCCAGATGTAACGACGATCAATGGAAACTAAAATCATTAACCCACTGAGGCCTGGATTCAAAACCACACTGAACATCCCAGTAACAAACTGGCTGATCCAACTTGTGTGACTTTATCACAGTAACTCATCATGTGACTTAGTGGCTGTGAATGGCCCCATGTGCCTGTATGCCCCCCCAACAATGTCGGGACATGCTCCTGATGAGTTGGTGGATGGTGTCCAGGGGGATCTCCTCCCAGACCTGGATCAGGGCATCAGTGAGCTCCTGCACAGTCTCTGGCGCTAATTAACGGGGTCGGATGCACCGATACAAAATGTCCCATAGGTGCTCACTTGGATTTAGGTCAGAGGTTCAAGAGGGCCAGTGGCATCAGTCACGTGCTCAGTGTGAACCTGCTCATCTGTGAGGAGAACAAGGCTCGAGTGGTGAACCTGCTGGTCCTGGTGTTCTCTGGTGAATGGAGCTGCTCAGTGCTGGACTGTGACTCAGGTCCCACTAGAGGACGTCATGTCTCCTCCTGGAGTCTGTTTCTGACAGTTCAGTCAGAAACACACCAGTCACCTACAGGAGGTCATTTTGTAGAGCAGTGCTCCTCCTGTTCCTCCTCACACAAAGGAGCAGATACCTGCTGCTGGGTTGATGCTGTCCAGCTCACCTGGTGTCTCCTGGTGTCTCCTGGTGTCTCCTCCAGGCTCTGGAGACTTTGCTGGAGACACAAACCTTCTTGTGACCACAGGTATGGATGAGTCCTCCAGGAGGAGCTGGACTACCTGTGGACCCTGATGGTGCTGCAGGTAGCGCCTCATGCTACCAGTAGTGAGGAGGACCCGAGCAGAACACAGAACTAGAATGAGTCAGGAAGGACCAGGAGACAGCAGCTGTCTGTGGACACCACATTAAAAACATTCTGTTGGGGCTCGTTTACTTTTGTCTCATTGAACCTGATGTGACTTTGATTTGCACCAAAGCAGAGAAACTGATTCACTTGTTCTTCTGAATGAACTCATGGAAGTTTTTTTGAGCAGTGTATTTTAGAGGCTGGTGAAGCTGTGGAGGTCAGAGGTCACACCATGATGTCAGAGCTGAGGACTGGAGATCAGCTGAGTCATGTTTTACAGTGTGAACTCCCGAGTCACTGCTCAGACATAGGGTGGGCGGGGTCAATATCATGTAGGCGGGGTCAGCAGTCGGGGCAGGGGTGTGTCTCCAGGACAAATCAGTGTGAGAGAGAGTCAGAGTGTGGATGTCTCTCGACCATGGCCTGTCTGATGACTGCCTGGTCTGTTCACAACCCCAGTGTGACCAACTCCATCATCATGGTGAGTACACACACACAGACACACACACAGACACACACACAGATACACAGATACACACACACTGACGCTGAGACAAACACTGACACAGACACACACACACAGACACACACACACAGACACACTGACACACACACACTGACGCTGAGACAAACACTGACACACACGGACACTGACAAATACAGTGACATGATGAAAATAGTTG